GTCCGACTGAAGGAGGCCTTCAGGGATTTGTTATCCCGGGGGACTCCCGAGGCAGCTGCAAGGTACCGACAGGCCCGAAGAGCAGCAGCCTCTGCCGTGGCCGAGGCAAAGCAGCGGGTGTGGGAGAAGTTCGGAGAAGACATGGAAAAGGACTATCGGGCGGCACCAAAGTTGTTCTGGAAAACTGTCCGACACCTCAGGAGGGGGAAGCAGGGGACCATCCAAGCTGTGTACAGTAAGGATGGGACGTTGTTGACCTCAACTGATGGAGTGTTAGGGCGTTGGAAGGAACACTTTGAGGAACTCCTGAACCCGACAACTCCGCCCTCTATGGTAGAGGGAGAGCTGGAGTATGACGGGGGATCAACACCAATCTCCCGGGGGGAGGTCACTGAGGTCGTCTAACAACTCCACAGTGGCAAAGCCCCGGGGGTGGATGAGATCCGCCCAGAAATGCTGAAGGCTCTGGGTGTTGAGGGACTGTCATGGTTGACACGTCTCATCAACGTTGCGTGGAAGTCGGAAACAGTACCGAAGGAGTGGCAGACCGGGGTGGTGGTTCCCCTTTTCAAAAAGGGGGATCAGAGGGTGTGTGCCAATTACGGAAGCATCACACTACTCAGCCTCCCCGGGAAAGTTTACTCTAAGGTACTCGAAAGGAGGGTCAGGCCGATTGTCGAACCTCAGATTGAGGAGGAATAATGCGGATTCCGTCCTGGTCGTGGAACGACGGATCAGCTTTTTACTCTCGCAAGGATCCTGGACGGGGCCTGGGAGTACGCTTATCCGGTCTACATGTGTTTTGTAGACTTGGAGAAGGCGTATGACCGAGTTCCCAGGGAGTTACTGTGGGAGGTGCTGCGGGAGTATGGGGTCTCTACTCAGGGCCATCCAATCTCTGTACTCCCAAAGCGAGAGCTGTGTCCGGGTCCTCGGCAGTAAGTCGGACCCATTTCCAGTGAGGGTTGGCCTCCGCCAGGGCTGCACTTTGTCACCAATCCTGTTTGTAATATACATGGGTCGGATTTCGAGGCGTAGTCGTGGGGGGGGGGTGTGCAGTTCGGTGGACTAAGGATTGCACCACTGCTTTTTGCAGATGATGTGGTTCTAATGGCTTCATCGGTCTGCGACCTTCAGCACTCACTGGATCGGTTCGCAACCGAGTGTGAAGCGGCTGTGATGAGGATCAGCACCTCCAAATCTGAGGCCATGGTTCTCAGCAGGAAACCGATGGACTGTCCACTCCAAGTAGGGAATGAGTCCTTACCCCAAGTGAAGGAGTTCAAGTATCTCGGGGGCTTGTTCTCGAGTGAGGGAACAATGGAGGGTGAGATGGGCCGGAGAATCGGATCAGCGGCAGCGGCACTGCAGTAGCTTTACCGCACCGTTGTGACGAAAAGGGAGCTAAGCCAGAAGGCAAAGCTCTCTGTCTACCGGGCCATTTTCGTTCCTACCCTCACCTATGGTCATGAAGGATGGGTCATGACCGAAAGAACGAGATCTCGGATACAAGCGGCCGAGATTGGTTTTCTCCGCAGGGTAGCTGGTGTCTCCCTTAGGGATATGGTGAGAAGTTCAGTCATCCGGGAGGGACTCAGAGTTGAACCGCTCCTCCTTCGCGTTGAAAGGAGCCAGTTGAGGTGGTTGGGCACCTAGTTAGGATGCCACCTGGGCGCCTCCCTAGGGAGGTGTTCCAGGCACATCCAGCTGGGAAGAGACCAAGGGGTAGACCTAGGACCAGGTGGAGGGATTATATCTCTTCGCTGGCCTGGGAGCGCCTTGGGATCCCCCAGTCAGAGCTGGTTGATGTGGCCAGGGAAAAGAAAGTTTGGGGCTCTCTGCTGGAACTGCTACCCCTGCGACCCGACCATGGATAAGCGGGAGAAGATGGATGGATGGATGGATCCAAGGGAGAGCATTTTAGTGTTATAGTTTGTCAATGTGGACCAAATTTGGATACAAGAAATACTGAGTAAATGCAGTAGGTGCTGCATTATACAACATCAGCTTGCTAACTACTAACTGTGAGTGTTATAATAAATGTAGTGGAATAAAAAGTACAATAAATGCCTCTGAAATGTAGCAGAGCAGAAGTATAAAGTAGCATTAAACGCAAACACCCAGGTAAAGCACAAATGTTACTTGATTACAATACTTGACTAAATGTACAATGACCATGAGGTGGTTTTTTTTTCCATTTCCAGAGGATTTTGTGCATATGTTGATAGCAGTGCAGCTTGAGCTTAATATGTTAAACATATTTTAACATATGTTATAAGTCTATAAACAAAAGTTAATTACATAAAAACTGTAAGCTAGAGCCAGGGGCGGACTGGCCATTTGGAATACGGGGAGTTTTCCCGGTGGGCCAGTGCTGTGCGTGGGCCGGAGGGCCAAAAAAAAAATGTCTTTGCCTAAATCCTACCGGCCCACATTTGTAAGTGTTCCGGCCACTCCCACTGGGCTGGGCTGGGCCGTTTTGATAGGCTACCTATGTTCTATCCATCAGATAGTTTCACTTTCACACATCAGGCCCGTAGCAGCTGTCACTGCACAGTGAACGATCAGGAGTGAGTGACTGAGAGACCTAGCTGGCAGTTGCTTACAGATATAAACAAGCTCCAAAGCGTAAAGGCGTTTTTGTATAGTTTGTGTATACAGTATTGCAGCGAGCCCTGGGTTCAGAGGGAGGGGCTTGCATAGGAGAGGGGGGGGGGGTTGGCAGGGAAACGGGGTTCAGGGGGAGTGTACCCATAGGATAGAAAAGGGGGAAGTGACGTCTGACTCAGAGGTTGCGCGGCTGTGGAGAAGAACGTGTTGCCCACATTCTGTTACTGAGTTTAGGCTAGTTAGCTTGCAGGTTTATTGTTTTGGGTGCAGTCACTTTTGCCTCCACTTGCTGTTCAAATAAATGTTGAAAGAAAAAGTAAATCTGTTTACAGTTCTGTTTCATATGGGTGTTGAGAGATGTATCCATAGATTTAGTCCCTAATTTTGCTCTCAAAGTGCACCAGATTTATGAATTTAACTTCAACATTTAAAAAAATAAATCTTCCCGGGGGAGCATGCCCCCGGACCCCCCTAGATGAGGTGAGGTCAACCACCTGCCCACACCCCCTGTTAAATTGTCTCACCCACATTGAGGATGCTTCCTACGCCCATGTTTTATTCCATGCGTCAAGTCAGGCAAATTGGGTCCAAATGTTATTGCATCAATGATCTGTTAATATTAAAATGAATAAATATATGCTGTAACTATTTTGCTCTAGGCAACTCAAGGGCTCAGGTAATGTGATTACTATAAGAATAATGGTCCAAAATAACATTAAATGCATAGGTTTTTTTGTTAAGTAACATAGCCTACTTCCGTCGCCTGCCGGTGTTCCGGATTAACTTGTTTCCCGATCAACTCGTTTCCGTGGGGTGCGTGGCTTTCGACTGAAATACACATTTCGATCGCTTTCTTCTGTCGTTTACATACATCTTTTGGTATATTTGGCTTCTTAGGAACACGTTGATGCAGACGTTGATGCAGGCAACAATAGCTGGTTTAAATGATTTATTCGAGCAACTCGTTTGTCTTGTTGTAGTCCTCGCTGTTCGCGTCCGGATATCGCCATCGTAATCACAACCTCACACACTGGTACTGGATGTGCTGTGCATCAACGTGTTCCTAAGAAGCCAAATATACCAAAAGATGTATGTAAATGACAGAAGAAAGCGATCGAAATGTGTATTTCAGTCGAAAGCCACGCACCCCACGGAAACGAGTTGATCGGGAAACAAGTTGATCGGGAAACAAGTTAATCAGGAACACCGGCCGATACATGCCGCGCATTAAGTGGGCCTGTCTGTCAATTAATCCCGGGGCCACTTTTTCCTCCCAGTCCGCCCCTGGCTAGAGCAACTTGCTGGCAGGCACACAGCTCCAGGATAACCCTGCTGAAAAAACCAGCTTGGACCAGCATGGACTTCAAGCTGGTCCATGCTGGTCCAAGCTGGTCCAAGCTGGTCCATGCTGGTCCAAGCTGGTCCATGCTGGTCTACCAGCATAATGACCAGCATGGACCAGCATGGACCAGCATGGACCAGCATGGACCAGCATGGACACCAGCATGGACCAGCATGGACCAGCATGGACACCAGCATGGACACCAGCATGGACCAGTATGGACCAGCATGGACCAGCATGGACCAGCATGGACACCAGCATGGACACCAGCATGGACACCAGCATGGACACCAGCATGGACACCAGCATGGACCAGCATGGACACCAGCATGGACCAGCATGGACACCAGCATGGACCAGCATGGACACCAGCATGGACCCCAGCATGGACACCAGCATGGACACCAGCATGGACTGCTGGTCATTATGCTGGTCTGCCGGTGTCAAACACCGTTATACCAGCATGGACCACCATGAACTTCATGCTGGTTCATGCTGTAACATGGTATGAAAAAAAAAATCTATTATTATTAAGATGGCATGAAATACAAAAACATACCAATCTTTCAGTTTATATACATTTACAGAACATAAATAACTGCAAATTCATAGAATCTCTATATTAAATACATTTATTCACTCACACCCAAAAGATTACCCTGTTAAAAAACACAATATTAGATCTATCTTGCAGCATAAAATAATTATGACATCGACTTCAAAATGTAGCTTTTTACTATTTTCGACCATATATAGCAATTTCTCATGTTTGTCTTTACAAATACAAATGCATTTTGTTTTTGCGAATCATTGATCTATTCCATAAAGAAAAAATACCCCATAAGCAATGGCATTACGTAAACAAACATTTAAAGAGTTAAAATTCTGATAAATGTAGAATTTCTTTGAAAGAATTGCAATGATATACGGTTCAAATAAGGAGTAATAGCATATAGAAAGCTTATATTCTTGCAATGCTATAATGCATTTTTCAACAAAACAACAAAAACGTGTGAGTTTTAACAACATGTTTATTTATTGACTTTTCATTCCTGTATGGCAATATTCATTTTGCACAGAAAAAAATGTTTGCCTAAATGACCAACTAAGATATGCTAGTTACATTTGTTATGAGTTTTGGCTAAAATGGTAGCGTTAAGGTAATGGTTCTCCAACTAGCAATTGCTAGTTGGAGAACCATTTAGCTAGTCAGCGGCAAGCAAAATACTTGGCCGCTGAGTTAAACAAGCTAACGTTCGAGGCATGCTAGCGTTAGCTGCAAGCTCGCGTTAGCTGCATTAAGAATGCAGGTTCTGCATACTAAATAGTACAATATTTTACTCAGAAGTAGTTGTCAGAAATAGCCAGAAATGGACACCCTCGGGTAAAGTAAATCTACCCTGAAAACAAAGCACTTCGATAAAATGCAATCAGTTACTGTTGTATTATACTCTGGTGCTGATCCATTAACTGCTATCCGCAGACATGCAGATGTAATGTTTGAGGACCTGGAATGACATATTATAAATGTTTCAGTTCAAGGAAAACAAATATTGAAATTAAAAGTAAGAAGGGATGTATTTACATCTCTGACAAATCTGGCCCACATCTCTTCTCGGGGGCGCTCCAGAATTCCGTGTCCCCTCCTGATCCTCTCCTCCTCTCCGGCAATGCTAAAGGCCCCAAGTCCACCTGGGTTGTCCAGGTCTTGGTGTAGGCGAGCAAGGAACGTTCCGGGGAGTGGGGTGGCACCTAAATGTGGAAAAAAACAAACAATATAATAGGATGGATAATGCAAATAACTGGGAGCATCAAATGCATTTCTTTGTAATCTACCTGCTTCTTTATGTAGAATTTCTATTATAGGGCTCTGGATGACCCACACGGCAACCACATCAAACGATCAATTAAGCAAAAATGTTTGCCTACGTTAAATACTTGGACGACGGAGTTAAAGAAATCGTTCCAACGTCTTATATTAAGGACTCCAGAAAAACAGTGCCTTCAAATGGGGAATCCCAATCCATCTGCTGGGCAATGAAAAAAAAACATCAGAAAACATGTATTTAAGAATGCAGGTTCTGCATACAATGTGAGTGAATACAGAAATGTATGACAACCCAAAGCACAAAGGGAATTGTGATTGCATTTACCTCAACATTTGAGACATAACTTGTACGTGGAGACATGGCAGGGCTCGACAGTAACGGTTGCCAGGATGCCATTGGCAACCATTCAGAAAACATTTCAACCACTTCTTGGCTATCAGTGGCAACCAGTTTTTAACATAAAGAAATAAGGACAGCAAACAGCAAAATGTGCACCCCAAAATAGATAAATGTTAATTATTTGTTGTATTAAGAGTGATATTTAATTATTGTTGTGACCAGTCGGAACCTGATACTTAAGTTGCACGTGCATTGGTGTGATTACGGAGCCATAAAGCGATGCACGTTTACTCGTGTGTGTTTATTTTACAAAAAATGGCGAAGCAAATTAAGTTGTTTGACTGTGGGGTAAAAGGTTCGGCCAACCCGTCAACATCTCAAACGAATGTTCAAAGTGATTCAACTGATAAAGCGCAAGATGAACCCGGACGAAAAGCAAAGAGGAATGTTGTCCATTCACTTCTGGTAAAAGTTCCTTCAAAATAAGAGTCCCGATCTTATTACTACCAAAATAAAAGTGCAAAACGAAACTTTACCATTTAAATATTGGCATAAAATGATAATCACTTCTATACAAAGGTAACACATTTTAAATATAGTTAGACATATTAAAGGTGATTTACAGCATTAATAATTAATATCTAATTCTTAGCTGTGAATGGTTTTCATTTATTTAACATTAGAAATGTATTAGTATGGCCAATCCAAGACTTCAATGCTGAAGGGCCAATGGATCTATGGTGGGGGTCAGCACAAAGGTCAAGAAAACCCACATTTGAAAGGAAGACAACGGATGATCAAGAAACTAGTGACTTGCTCAATTCATTTGTGAGGGATCTGTGAAGAACATGACAACAGCTGCACTAATGGTATTTTGTATACCAGCAATTGAGGGTGGACAAGTTTACTACCACTTAGGTTTAAAATAATTGTGTTAATTACTTATTGTAAAGCCTTTGAACATTCTTTTGTGTCACATGTTCATTATTAAGTTGATGTATAACTGTATAGTATCTTAATTATTTAAAATACAAGGTGACTAAAAATGGCAACCGTATTTTCAGTTTTGGCAACCAAAAGCTGATGCCTGGTTGCCAGCCTGGCAACCACTTTTAAAAGTTAGCGTTGAGCCCTGCATGGTCTGCACAGGATAACGAAAACGTGGTTTTGTCCGAAATAATGTCTTACATAAATTGAAACAGCATAATCCTCGCTCACCTCAACATCTGCAACGTGTGACCCTGATTTGTTTTTGAAGTCATCTGCCACCTTAAAATGACATCACCAGGTAAGAATGAAAAATAATAATTACAGAATTGATACTTTGAAAGGTTTAACACAAAAATATCATGAATTCACTTACATCAAAATGTCCACTTTTCAGTTTAGCTCAGCATTGATTGTACTGTGAGGCTCCAAGTACAATTTGTACTTCCGTTTTGGCATTCTAAAATTAAAAAAAGAACATGGGTATCATTAACAGACTGACTAATGAATGGCAATTTCACCAATAATAGGTTGAAATTATTCTACTGACAGTATAAACCGAACAATTTAAATTAACGAGCAGTTTTTACTAACTCGGACTATAGCACCAGTGTAAGGTGACACTCAATTGTTGGTTTTAAAAAAGATACTTGGAATAATCCACACTTTTTAAAAACATTTTTTTGTGAAGGTTCTATATTATTAATCCAGATGTGAGAGACACAGCTACAGCTCCATCAGAACAGGAGAGGAAAATAATGAGATATACAGCTGGGGGGGGGCATTGGGGGTCATTAAATGTTATATTATGGAGCCAGGGAGGGGGGTACATATTCAGACAAAACACAACATTTACAAGATTACATTTGTAATTTTAAATGAGAAAAAACAATGAATATTTTTAGATAAAAGTAATTTTTTTGCCAAAAAAGAAACTTGGATATTCTAAAATGATTAGTATAATTTTATTTTTAAACCTTATCTGTGTTGCTAGAGTTCAAAAGATTGCAATCATTATATATATATATATATATATATATATATATATATATATATATCTATATACTACGTCTACTGCACACAGACAACATCTGTAAGAGAAATGCAGTCTATGGTATTTACTTGTCTTAAATATTATATTTAACTATACAAAGCGGGAAGCGCGTGAGCTGAGGTATACCTCAGCTCACGCGCTTCCCGCTCTGTATAGATAAATTCACTGTGATTGGCTGAGAGACAGGAGATGTTCGACTGATCCAGAGATCTATAATATAATTTATATTATAGGGCTCTGGACTGACCCACACAGCAACCACACGATCAATTAAGCAAAAATGTTTGCCTACGTGAAATACTTGGACGACGGAGTAAAATAAATCGTTCCGACCTCTTATATCAAGGACTTTGACAGGGAGAAATATATACAAAGTAACATTGACACTGTATGTTGGGTACGCTGGGAGGACGATTTCTTCAAGGGACAAATAGTATTTGTAAAGGGTGAGCGATGGTGTCCTGAATACTGCATTAAAACCATAGCGTTAATAAATGACCAACTAAGATATGCTAGTTACATTTGTTATGAGTTTTGGCTAAAATTGTAGCGTTAACGTAATGGTTCTCCAACTAGCAATTGCTAGTTGGAGAACCATTTAGCTAGTTAGCGGCAAGCAAAATACTTGGCCGCTGAGTTAAACAAGCTAACGTTGGAGGCAAGCTAGCGTTAGCTGCAAACTCCCGTTAGCTGCAAACTCCCGTTAGCTGCTTGCTCGCGTGTTGCAAGCTAACGTTAGCTGGAAGCTAGCGTTAGTTGCAAGCTATTGCCGGCGCTGAGTTAAACATGTTGCTTTGCGACAGAAGACAAACGACTCAAACAACGAACTTTTATAATATCCCATAATGTACATGTAATACGTATTGCAGATGTTAAGTACTTACACTCAGTGTTATTTCTTCCAGACACATGACAGCGCTTCATGCTATAATGACAGCTCTTAGAAGAACATTCTAGAATTCAAGATTCCAGAGCAGTGTCTCGTGCGCAAAAGAAATAGGTAGCGCGTGAGGCCAAGAATGTATACAAGTAATCCGTTCGGCCCGACATCTGCCAGCCAGGATGTTTGCTTATGTGAAATACACGGACGGATTTAAGGCTTGTAGCTATAACTGCTATAACAAACATCCAAAACTTCAACCTAAAAACATATCAAGCGGACATCCCCTATCCCATTATTTTGCTTATTCTACTTGCTGACTATGGAGGACGGAACATGACTTAAGTATAAATAAATAAATGTATGAAGAAATACAGGAATAAATAAATAAATACGTAAATAAATAAATAAATACAGGAATAAATAAATACAGGAATAAATAAATGACGAAATAAATACAGAAATAAATAAATGTTGAAATGAATACACAAATAAATAAAAGAATAAATGCATAAATAAATATGGAAATAAATACATCAATGTATAAATAAATAAATAAAAGTCGAAAATAAAACAGAACACACGTTATTATATATCTTTCATTTATTTCTACATTTACGCAACATACATTTATTTATTTATGTATTTATGTGTCCGTATGCTAATGAGGTGGGCGGTCCTAACCTCAGTCTGAAGCAGGATTGGTTACAGGAGTGTGTGATCATTTCTGGCAGAGGGCTCTACTACTAACGCCTGGATAACCGCGCTGATTCGAATGCAGGAGCTTTACTGTTTAGCCCTTATCTTTATACATCCATGGTTTATCCACAGTTGTAAGGTTTATTTATGGATATTGATTTAAGAGCCATTGGAGATCATTTACGATCATTAGCGGACCATTTAGAGAACGGAGAACCAAAAGACTATGTCCAGTTTCGTGTGGAACGATGTATAGAGGACTTGGCTCAGCTCGACATGATGTGACTTGCCACAAATCTATTGCTTCTGCCTGGCTCCAACAATTGGCGAATCCTGCTTCAGACTGAGGTTAGGACCGCCCACCTCATTAGCATACGGACACATAAATACATAAATAAATAAATGTATGTCGCGTAAATGTAGAAATAAATGAAAGATATATAATAATAACGTGTGTTCTGTTTTATTTTCGACATTTATTTATTTATACATTGATGTATTTATTTCCATATTTATTTATGCATTTATTCTTTTATTTATTTATTTGTGTATTCATTTCAACATTTATTTATTTCTGTATTTATTTCGTCATTTATTTATTCCTGTATTTATTTATTTATTTACGTATTTATTTATTTATTCCTGTATTTATGTACGTAATTTATTTATTCCTGTATTTCTTCATACATTTATTTATTTATACTTAAGTCATGTTCCGTCCTCCATAGCTGACTACCAAATGTAAGCATTTAATACTTACATATGTTAGTTAAGCAATGTGTCAATAATTTTAAGTTAAGTAACTTCACATTATTAAGTTTTAGTCATGTTCGCAATGCATTATGGGAAAGAGAAGGATCTTTTAATGTGCCGCAGCCACGTTTCCAGCTCGCAATTTCTCAGTCTGACGCAACCCCACTTTGAACGACGGACTTGCACCACTTGCACCCTTCCACCGCGCTGTCTACGCTTCCAAAGGAAGGACGCTGCACGGCTGCCTTATCTACTGAATCTGGTGAGTGATTTAGCTAACAGGGCTTGGTTGAATTCTCGTACTTTTAGGAAGTATCAACTGGCGGGAACACCGTGTGGGCTTCTCTCGCATTGTTTAAGTACTTGTTAGAGGAAAATAAAATGTGAACAGACTTTGACAGTTACAGGTAAATTCCAATAATGCTGCCGTTTATTTTCTGAATTAAAGTTCCATTCGTTGGTGCGCCGTGGAACGGACTTTT